GTGTTGTAAACTACATTTGATGCATTCAGAATTCTTAAAAAGTCCATTTACTTTTTGATGTAAAGTTCACCCATCTCTACGGCCTAAATCCCTTTTCGGACACTTCATTACTTTTAATTAGATAAAATGTAGAACAATTTGTTGTTTTTCTTAGATATAAAATATCATTATTCTTCTTCGTGTATTTGATTTACACACAACTTTTATATTTACACTTTCGTTAATTAAGTTAAACAATTGGAAAAATTGTGAAATGAAAAATATGGATTTGCTATTAATATCTATGCATCCGTCTCATAACAGTGTATAAATGGTTCATAGTAGTTAAATACGTGGGAACCTTGTTGGCCTACCTAATCTGTAAGCAAAATTCAATCTTTACTAAAGAGAGGTAAGACAAGTTCAGGACCACTAATGAAATAATTAAGTAATAATTGATTAAACATAAATGTTTGCCTATTGAATTATAAAGATGTCTATTGACAGTGGTTATTCTTTGAAATTAATGTTCATATTTGTAAATCTGAAGTTCAGTTGTAATTCTTAAAGTCAAGTACTAATAGAACCAACAATAAGACTTAAATAAACAAGTGTAATCACAATTACTTTTTAAACCACCTCACGATTATATGTTTATATCCATTAACACACCATCACCAGCTCTCTTATTTCAATCATGTTATTTCTACCAATATATTCACAATATAATTCAAAAATATATTCACTCACACTTTGCTCTCACTCATACCCATTGAACACATCCAATTTCTACTCTGTTATAGCTATTGAAGCTATTTCATCCACAAATATTTTGCATATGGCATGGCCATCTAAAGCAACTGTAAGAAATAATGGTTTCAGATACAGTATATATGTTTAATATCAAGACAGAAAATATGTCACATCAGGATATATGTTTATGCTAGCATGAAGCGCTATTTCTTGGAAGTTAGTTAAGCAGACTATCGTACCTTCTTCTCCCATATTGACATAATTTATTGTATGCTATGAGACTTCCAATCATGTGATATGACTACAAAGCTTTGTCACTAAAATGCGTGTGATTGATAGTATCAAAAGGCCATTGAAGATATTTTGTGAATATAACTCAATTTTGCATTACTCTAATAACAACTCAAGTGCTACTAAGCCTAAATTTATTGACATCAAGTTTCTTGTTGTTAAATAAAGAGTTCAGAATAATAATAAAAAAAATGATATTGAATATATAGGAATGAACAATATGCTAATTGATCCACTAACTAAGACATTGACACATAAGGTGTTTTATGAACACCCTAGATTAGTGAGATTTATGTTCAATATGGACAACCTTCATTTCGTATTATTCAATTTTTCTAGAGAATAAAGTAAATGGATTTGATTTTATTCTGAATTCAATTCAAGTTAATTTTCATTATGTATTGATCTCAATAAAGTTGCATCCGTTGAAAATAAACATGATATTGATCACACTGCATAAAATTTCTATGCTACTCACTATATTTGATCCATATAAAATATGGTGATTATCGAGATTTAACCACGATTTATAATGTGGCAACTGCCGCAATAATTTTGTTGTTGGTACATGATGCCGATATGATTGTTGAAGGTAGTTGAAACAACGAATAGTGTAAAGTTGTGCAACTACATGATATAATTGCTCAGGAATCAATATTTGCTCAAGCGAGAGATTGTTAGGAAAATATAAATTTTCTTATATAAATATGAGCAAATAATAATGTACAGTTACATTAGTTATTCTAATTTATTTGGTTTATTTGAATTACATGATCTAATTATAGAAATAAGTCAATTTATTTAATTGACTTAAAGTATGTGATCTAATATGGAAATAAATCAATAATTATTTGATTGACTTAAATTATGTGATTTTTATTTATGGAACGAGTTTATTTACTATCTTATTGATATAGGGTAAATTGGATAGATATTGGATAGCATAGTCATTAGGTGATTATAGATGACATATTGATCTCTTTATAAAAGTGATTTGGTTATGGTTTCTAACACACCAAATTAATTTTTTTTTTTTCTCTCCATCGGAATAGAATACGAAGGACCTATTGATTGATTTAGTTGAGAAAGACCATAATATTAGTCATTCGAGTTCGTAATTCTATATCGAGAAACTTGCCATGGATCCAAATATATTCTCATTTGAGGTTTTATCATATAAATCACTATATAATATATGTATTGGAGATGTTCCGAATGCATTATATATATCAAATTTTTCCAACATATTTTTCCTAGAAAAAGAAATGTTAGAAAACATTCCCCTTTTGCAACAGCTCAAAGTCATGCCAAAGATATATACATATTGTGTCTCTTACACAATTCTTAGGCTCAATTTATGAAGGTGTTTAGGGTTTACTATGAATTTAGATTATTAATTCCACAACGGTGGCATACAATTTTCAAATTATTGGATTGCATCCACAATATTGTATTTTTCTTAATTGCATCAGTCTTGGGATTTCGATTTTACGATGATTTGAGGCAACTAAGATTGCTTTTGGTCAGGAGTTTAAATTTTGGAGTTTCAGAAATACTTAAGTAGGATTTCAAGTTGTATTTGATTAAAGTTTTGAATTTGTAATTATTATATTGACAAATATTAGTGGTAAATTGATTGAATTGAAAGTTTTAGCATGGGTTTGCTTCTTTAACAAAAATTTTTCTACATATTTACCTAAAAAAAAATTAATATTCTACATATTTACAGATAATGTAGTGGTGTAAGGTGGACTTGTGATGGGTTCAAAGTTTAAATATTTGACATTTTTGGGTTTTGTATGCCATACATGGTATGACTAGAATGACATACCTTGTTGAACTTAGTTTGCAGGCTATTAGATTCGGTTAAAAATTTTGTCACTATGTGGATTATCTCAATCATCACATAAAAATAGAACGCACATGCTATCACTCTCCGTAGCACATGTTGTATAGAATCTATATGTTGTCTATCATTTTTTATATGTACTTTATGCTAAGATATATTTAGAAAATATATATTCTCCCTGTCCGGCTCTAAGTATTATATTTATTTTTTGTGTGTTGATCTTTGAATATTAATTATTATATAAAAATATAGTATAAATCAAAAGAAAATGACAAATATTTATGTTAATGTCTTATAATACTAATATAATGATATTTGTAAAAAAAAAAATTATATAAACATAAAAATATTTTTAATGATAAATACAATAATATAAAAAGTAAATATAATCTTTAGAGACGGACGGAGGGGTATTATATTTATAATATTGTCTTATTTAAGACATTTGTAGATTTTTTATGTTTTTAGATGATTTATAGGCTATTATAAATGTATACAAATTATTATAACAAAAATAATCAGTCTCATATTCATAACATCTTGGTTAATATAGCTTATATAATGATATTAATTGTTAGTTGTAGAATGTATTGTATGAACTATTGCTATGTATATATTGCATTTATATTATATTAACATAAAATATTATATAAGAAACGAATATGATGTGTTATTGATATATATATATATACGCGCTATGAGCACTGTACATCACTATAATATATACCGTCATGATTTATTCATTCCTTTGCTGGAAAATAAATAAATAATACTTCCAACCTGAAGGCATTTGCAATAATAAGTAAAATCCAACTCCAAATTGCATTTATCGGGAAGTTCTAATATAGATATTTACCAATAATCAACACTAACATACAAAAACACGTATTTCAAGTGTGTTTTTTTTTATGAGTTTAGAAAAAAATTTGTTTGAGTTCGACATAAAAATAATGTTTAATGAAATATTTTATGAAAAAAAAAATATATAAGAAAAAATTTTGGTAAAGAAATAAACCCTTTATGTATGTAGCTCAATCCAAGTCAATCTCCCAACATGAGAATGTGACAACTAACATAGAATCAACCAATAAGAAATGGACACATATTGCACCTACCTACCTTCCTACCTATTGCAACAACATAGTACATAGACACTATTATACTACTAGGTCAAGGTTTTACAACTTTACATAAATGAATTGTCCCCTACACGTCACCAACCAATGAAAACATCATTATTTTTCACGAAGCTTCCATCAACAACCCAGCGAATATATTTGAAAATTATTCTTCCAAATTGCAACATCGATCTACCAAAACATATATATATATATATATATTCAAACGTGGATTGAACATCACCATCGAACACGAGAATAATGATTTAAATTGAATGAGATAACGCATTTAATGGTCTTGTCCGTAAAATATCAAGGAGATGTCATATTATACGTAACAATAAAATACGATAATACGTAAAATATGTCTATATGTGCATATGAATAAATGGTTATAAGTAATAATATCTAAGATGTATTTTTATGTATGTGTAGACTGAAAAATATATATATATATATATTATACTACCTCTCATCTCCGTCCAGTTCTAAGGATCCTATTTACTTTTGTGCGTGTTGATATTTGAATATTAATTATTATATTAAAATGTAATACAAATTAAAAAGAAAAAATTACCAGAATACTTTCATTAGTGCCTTATAATACTAATAGAAAAATATTTGTACAAAAAATATAAGAATATTTTTAACGTTACATATAATGATGCAAAAGGTAAATGAGACTTTAAAGACGACGGACCGAGAGATAATAAAGATATATATATATGTGGATATGTAAATAAATAAATACATATGTATATCACATCGGTTACGATGCAGATTGACAATTTATCAACACCAAGACTGATTGCTCCAATTAAAACATATAAAAGTATAACAAATAATTCAAGTAGTTTATGAACAGAATTATTTATTACTGTTATCCTAAGAATAGCAACCCTTACCATACCATGAAGCTCACATATATATTTTACACTATAGAAATGATCTTGTCCGTGCATAATGTGTAACTATTACATAATTTATTTTTATTTTTTAGAAAGCACTGGTTACTTGTGCATCAAAAGCATCTACACTTAATCAAGAAAATATTGGGTCACAATCACAAATCTCATCTCAATCAAGAATCACCCACCCACCTCTATTTTGGGTGATTAATATGAATTATAAGACAACAAACAAAACCCTTTTTCTGAGCTAGCTAACAACAAAGATCAAAACCCAACTTTATCTAAAACACATCACCCCAAGTTTCAACCAAAACACATTCTCTAATCTAGTGTCGTCATCTTTTCTATAAAGCCAATCAAGATCGAATCATCTCCCCAACCCTACCCAGAATGCAGCTGAGTGAATCAGAAAACAGTAGAAATAGATCACGGTACCGTGCAGAGTTGCCCATGTCCTGGATGGTGTTCCAAAGAATACATGGTGCTGCCTCTAACATATTTTTGATGCTCAACGGCAGCTTTTCTTGAGGCTGATTGCGTTGATGATTTCCCCTGGTACTGATTTGCAATAATGGCACATTGAGCAAGTGGATCTGAAGATCCAGCCCCAACTCTCCTGTTAGCATAAGCAGAAAAGTGAAGTGTTGTAACAATAAAAATGAAAATTTTGAAGTCGGCCATGTGATATACAGAATAAAATAATTAGAATTTGAAAGCCTAGGAGCATGGAATTATTCCCCAACTTTGCTTATCAATTAGAGTAATACAAGATCAGGTGTGTTCGTTTCAAGAATTTCAACCAATTTCTATTATTCATCAAATTTCCACTCCCTCCCCCCCTCCTCCTTCCAAAAAAAAAAATATCAAATCAAACATTTATTTTTTATTTTTTATATTATATAAAAATCAATTTTACATTCAAAACATCACATTAACCTCTACTTATTTCACACCATACAATCATTCCAATTCAAAATTTTTACTATTCAAATCTCAATTCAAAATCCAAACCCCCAAACAAACACAAGAGTCCTCTGTTTGGATCTTTAGCACAATTTTAGAAGGACTATGTGAAAATTGGAAGGTATTTATCGAAACATTACTGACAATAATAAAGTGAAAAACAGTGGTACAGTTCAACTTAATCAGATTTTGCTAGAAAGAAGGAAGGTAAATGAAAGGGAAACTAGTGTAGATTACCTCAGCAATTTCTCTGATGCAATACGGGCAGCAGTGATTTGGCTGCGGCTTGGCACCCACTTCACAATGCGATTTGGATCTGGTCGCATAGGAGAATGGATTTTGACAAGCTTACAAAACAAAAATATATTTATATAAGTGCAACTTGGGAAAGTCAAGAATTCACTATATCCGATTTTCATAAAATAACATAAGTAACATATTAAAATAGCATGTAAACAGAAAGAGAGAGGGGATTTAGCAACATAGTTGTTAATGGTGCAACTTAACACAAAACTTGAAGCCATGGCAAGACTTTGTGCAGGTTTATGGAAACATAATTGAAGTATATGCAAAAAATGAAATATATTTAAAGTAATAAAACTCTCACCAAAGTAAAAAAACAAACTTTTTAAAATAGAAAACCACTTCAAAGCATTTTTAACTTGTATATTTATATAAATAAATGAAATAAAATAAATAGGAAAGTGAATAAAATGTTAAAAAGAGCAAAAAATGTAGAACTCTCCTTTGTCCACTTTCATAAAAACAATACAGAACAAAAATAGGAACATACAGCATTAAAAAAGGGCAATGCTGTGAGCTTGTGTTAAAGAAGGTACATGGCTACTGCATGTCACAAACATACCTAGTGTTGCTAAATTCCATACCATAATATTGATGCTATGCTAGTAACTTAAGAGCAATGAACAACAATACATGGTCCATGGTCAACACTGCTTTATGCTCCAATACATTGGCATATAGTTCATATGATTACAGTAAGGGCAGCCATGCACACTGGCTGTGATAGCTCAAGAACAAAGGCAAAACCTCACATTCTCAACTTCAGTGGAGGAACTCCAGGTTAAAAAAAAATGTTGTGGAGCTCTATATGATTAGAGTAAGGGCAGCCATGAATGTTGGTTGTGATCACTCACGAAGACAAAACCTCAACTTCTGAACTTGTGGAACTCCAGGACAAATAAATAAATATATTAAGGAAAAATAAAAATTGAACTTACTCCAAGGCATTCCATCATTTGGTAGTAAGCCCTACCCTGCAAAGGGGTATGACCTTGTCTAGACTCGGAGAAATACCTAGTCCTGAGAGGACATTTGACGTTACCTCATAAGTTAGAATATAGAGAAAAGGCATATCCATTCAGCAGCTTCAGCAGTGTACATACCATTCTTTATAACCAGGATCAACAGTAAAGCCATACATGTCAACGGTGTCACAGATAGAAAGTGCAAATTCAAGAGCCTTCAGACCAGTACCTTTAGCTGCTGAACCAAAGGATGCACCCAGCATGAGATATACTGGATTTAGTATGGGAACTTCCTAAAAGAAACAAAAGAAGATGATACAATTAGGAATTAATAATTTGAATGTCAACTTGAAAACCATTCCATAGAAATGCAAAACCATAGAGACAAAGTTTTAGGTACAAATACAACTTGGTTGTACATCATTGCTTTCCAAATCATACTCAGTTTAATGTGTGTGATTTCAGGGGGTAACTAAAGGGGTAGATGAGGAATAGAACTATGTGAATCAAATCACTTTTAGAAAACTACACCCAGATCATCTTGTTACAACTGCAAGGGAAAGCATGATATCCACTTCAAAACTACAGTTTCTTCCAACTAACAAGGGCAAGAATTTCAACTTCAATCCCCTTCTTATTTGGAATATAGGAATCATATCACATAGAACAAATAGAAAGAGCACACACCCGGATCATCTTGTTCATGATATCATGAATTGTTGTTTTGATGATCAAGACTTCCTTTCCCTTTTCTGTAGATTTTTATTTTGTTAGCAAGACTGCATACGAGGTTAAGCCTTAGAATGGAAAGGATACATATATGTTAATACCATACAGCTCTGCAACTTTATCAAGAGCTTTGGCAGAGCCCCTGTTGAGAAGGCGGAATGTACTTTTTGTACCAACATATTCTGTAAAGTTCTGCATTATTTACAAAAAATAATATAAAATAAAATATAAACCGAGAAGGTAGTTTAACATTATTCAGTATATTCTTTAAAAATGATTCTGGATGAAATAAAACCTGTATAGGTGCACCATTCTCTCTGAAAATACCATCATAACTATCAATTTCCTTCCCAAACTTGGTTTTAAGAAGATCTCCTGAGTTACCAACAACTGCACATCGATCAAATTGCCTGGGTGTATATGGAGGTCTATCCGGAAGCACCAAAGATAGTTTTTCCATGCAAAGAGTTCTATTCTCACATTTGTTCCTGAACCAGAGGCAACAACATTTGAGTTAAATGTCCCTAGGTAGAACTAATTAGCAACCATCAAATCCCTTCGTCAGCTATTGTAAGAAAATAACAAAACACTAAGGCTATATTTGATTGGACCAGTTATCGCTTGATCTTAATGACAAGTACTTAATTTATTGTATACATGATAACAAGCAAATAATTGAACTTACTTTTTAGTACAATGCAAACGAAAAACGACAATAAAATAAGTGATTTGCAAATAAGTGAACTTATTTTTTACTTTCTATCCTCTCACAAAAAAAATCAGCATTCAATATAAAATATTATTTTTTATAATACCGATACAATTTTTCATACCTCACATTAAAAAAATATTTCAAGCTAAAACACTAAACAAACAAACCCATAGTCATACTATTTTTCAATACAAAACATTACATCCAACAATTATTTCACCCAAAAACGAAAACATAAACACAAAAATAACAAACCTTATTTATTGATTTTTCAATACAATTATTTATTCACATAAAATAACTATTAGTTTTCATATGTTAAAGAAATAAATATAATTACAATTTCCGTACATAAATTAATATAAAAAATATAAAATATAACTGTCAAAATAGCACATTTAACAATCACAGTCTTTCAGCGCCTTAATCTTTAGAAACCTAATTAACTAACTAGTACAAAGTTCATCATTCTACATTAAAACTTCACCTTCTAGTCAATTGTAAAAGAAACGTTATAGTAATAATGTTAAATGGGGATATTGTAGAAGAAGGCAAAACGAGTAGGCTGAGGCAGAGCACCAACTTGTGGGTTAATCAAAATAAGCAGATTGGTTACTACTGAGTGGAAGTTGAGTTTCATCGTACTTATATGAAAACAGTGTAAACAAACTGAGCATCAACAATGCTTATTAAATTTGGAACACCAGTTAAAATATGATGAAAGATCACAGGTCTTTGAAAGACATGGTCATGAACTTAAACCAGAAACAAATCAAAAAACTTAAACAAAAACCACAAGCTTCCCTTCAGCTTTGAACAATACAACAACGATACGAAACCATTATTCTCTAAGTAATGAGACAGAACAAAAAGTTTAAGGAAGAGGATGCTTGCAATTGCGATACTGCTTTATTGAAATTATGTAAAGCTACAGGCATTACAACAATTATTTTCTATTGTTCTGATTGAGTAATAATACAACTTTTGACAAATCTCAGTTGCAGCTAGTAGCACAAGATACTTACAAATGCACTCCCTTATTAATTCTTTTCCATGCATACTCTTCCCATCCATTTGGCAAAGCATCAATGAATTCCCGAGTCAGAACAGTGGTACTATTTCGAACCTGAGCAAGTCCTTCACTAAATAATAAATCAACTATAGAACATACAACAATTGCAAAAGATAATGCATCCAACAGGTAAACTCAAATCTTTTTACACAGAATAAAATTACTATCATGTGATAATTGTTAGGTACACAAGTAATTTCTTGTAAGACAAAACATTAACGTTCTGCCATTGTAAAATTGACATAGGATTGGAAAGAACCTGCTCCCATGTAGCCACCGCTTCACAAAGATTAAAACCATAACTCAAGCCTTCAAGTTCACCTGTTTTGGGATCCTTCTGTTTTATAAAAGAATATCAGTGGGGAAACACAATGATTTACAGAGACATGAAGAGTCTATCTAGATTAAATTTTTATCAAAGCATATAGTTCCCCAAAAAAGATCATGTGCATCTCCAATTTTTCTAGGGTGAAATTTAACAGAGAAGTGAAACATAGAACTCAGCAGGCAGAAATACTGCTTGAGAAAAGTAGCATGGTTGAACCAAACCTACCCATTTTGGTATTGTCTCTTGGGGAAATTCCAGTGAAACCTGACAAATATCACTGCCAAGTACAGCTTGTAGCCCTAATCCATTAGCCCTCTACAAGGCGGAAAGAGAATTTTATGAACCCCACTATCCTGAAACTAAGTAGAAATTGACACAACAAAAGCCTACACATATAAGGCGTGAACTTGTAGTCTAGATCTTCAGATATTTTTCATAAACACAAACAATACTTTGGAATAGGAAAATAAAAATAAAAATAATGAAAAGTTCAAGCATCAGATCCTTAATATACCACCCAAACCCACTAACATTTTAGCAAAATCCAATCTAACACAAGTCACCTGAAAATCGGCAGCATATGTCATAAAAGAGATAATACGTGCGAGGGTAAGGAGATTCTTAAACTGGCCTAAGCAACTGAATATGCACAATGCAAACGAGAAACTTCACGGCTTCTTTTGGAATTGTAACAATGCAGTGTCTGTTTGTAGGTTATGACAAATCGAAACAAACCCCACGTGCATTTACATTTTTAACATAACCAAAATAGACATGTTCACATCATATTCAAAGATACTGAGTGTTTTAGGAACCTTTAGAGTGGAGAGTTGTCAACAAAACTCAAGGCCAATGTTTCAAATTCAGTTTACGAATCCTAGGTATTAACCAAAGGCCTAATCAAATTTAATCCAGGGTCCAACAATAGAAACCAAGCCTCACACCATAAGCACCAAATGGAATGCCATAACATCTTAATTCCTAAATATTCTAATTCCATGATAACTGAACATTTTCTCAAGCACTGACGTTTCTAAAATCTGGTATAATAGATTATTTCCAAAAAGATTCACAGAATCACCACATAGTGCGAAATGCAATAATTTGCTCAAAAAATAAACCTTCTTCCAGCCGGATGCAAAATAAGATTAAGTGAACCAGCCATCTGACGGACTCAACTCAACTCACCACACACTTCTCGAATTGACCACCGAGGGATCTCAAGGCTTCAAGATCTTCATTAGACAGACGAATCGACGACGCATCTGCACATAAAAGCAAACTCATTCGAGACCCCGACGAGAAGTATAAACACAAACCGAAACGAAGAGAAGATTGCGACCGAACATACAAATACCAAAATTAGAAACACCAGTGATGTAAATGAGAATGGCTGCAAGTCCAGATGCCAACGCAACCACAAAAGCTAGCTGCAACAGCCTCATCAAACTCTAGAATTCGCCGATTCAGTGGAAATCGAGTAAGCCCTGTCCTCAAACGGATGGATTCCTCCGGGGATCTGAAAGAAATTTTCAGAACGATCTGCAATGCAGTGCACGGCAAAATCTCCCCCAAAACGTTACGATTTGAAGAAGCTGGAATTCATTTTGCATTTACTCTTATTATTATTATTATTATTATTAGTTTCCACACTGCACAGCAGCTAATAATTTTATATTGTGCAGTCAATTTTAATTTTTATTATTAATTATGAAAGAAAATAAATATATATAATTTTTTATTAAAAAATAGTAAAATATTTTTATTTAAAATGTATTGAATTGAGAATAATAATAATAATAATAATAATAACACAAATATTCTCGATGTATTTTTTATGAATAATATGCATTTTTCTAAAAAAAATTAATATATTAAATATAATTATTATATTTAGACAAATATTTTAGTACTTGCAGTACTGCTGCAATAAAAAAATATCGTAATGGCAGCAAGTTCTCCATTGAGACTAAAATGATATTCACATGAACATAAATATATTGTAATACAAAGATAAGACTAATGTATATAAAGTAATATTTTTTTAGGATAAAAGCAACCATGATCTGCATCCCCGGGACAATGGCATATGATTATTTCAAATAGTAAGATTAAGGATACTGATGTAACTATTGCAACAAAAAACGATAATATAGAAATTCAATTGAGGCACTCCTATGATTTAATAAAACTAGCATTATGAGCTAAAGAGAACTTAGAATTTCTCATATCATATCTAAAAAAATTAAATAAAGAAGCATATGTATGATGTGTTGAAAGATGGTGAAGCAAACGCAATGTTGAAATATTTTAGTGAATAATTAATAGACAATTAATATTCTTTTATGAACTTGAAGTTGATACAAAAGGTAATATTTCTAACGTATTTTGGTCGGATGTTCAGATGAGAGTAATTATGCACTTTTTTTGTTACAATATAGCACACAACATACCAGACAAACAAATACTTATTTATCACTGTTACAACATCATATTCTAAAAAAATTAATGTGATACTACTTTCTAATTTATTTGTAGTAGATCTACTTGGAAAATGAGAATGTTGTGTTGTTATAACTACATACTTCATTTTATAATAACATGTTCTATTTTTCTTATAGGTGTCTATGTTAGTTTTAATCATCACAGATGTATGTTTGGAGGCGCACTTTTATATGAGGAGACAAATAAGTTCTTTACTTGTTGTTCACAACTTTTTAAAATGCATGAATGGTCAAGCTCCAAAGACTATATTCATTGATCAAAATTTGGCAATTTTAATATTTTTGAACAGTTTCTCATAGCATTTTAAGAAATTATTATATATCGTATGAGATGAAAATGAGTTTAAGATGTCTTGGAGGACTGTGTATGAAATATGCTTCCCAAATGGATTATAAAAATGGCTTCAAAGTATTTTTTTGTTAAAGTAATACTGGTCCTTTGCATTGACAACTAAGTACTTCATTGCTGGAATAAGAAACACACAATTAAGTGAATCCATTAATAGTTCTCTTTACAGCACATTGCACTCAAAAAATTTACTGAAAAAATATATATAATTATACATTTTTTCTTATTGAATAAATGACATAATTCATATGAACACTTATTTTCTATGTTGTGTTGTTCTCTACAGGTACTTGCAATCAGACAAGAACATCATTGAGTTTTTTCTAACAATTTGAAGGGGTTCTTACAAACATTAGAGAAACAAAATAGCAACAAAATTTTTATACAATAGATAAGCAATTGATAACAAATAATGTCTTCAATCCATTATTTAAGTATGCAGCAAAAGCATTTGCACCTAATATCTCTGAACATGAAAAGTCATTTCAATACATAATAAATTGCTGGAAGGCAAGAGACTCTACTTAATATATCACTCAAAGAGAACAACTGAGCAGAATATTATACATCTTAACATTGAAGATTGCATCATTGAGTGTAATTGTAGAATGTGGATTCATACTGGATTTCTTTGTTGTCATACTTTGTGTTTGATAGATATACTTAGAAGAATAGGATTTTCTTAAGTTACAACGTTTCTCTGAAAGATATGTATGACGAATGTGGACAAAGGATACAAAGAAAGTAGAAAGTTTTGCACCTGCTGCTTTTCTTGTTCAAGAAGAGTGGATTACATATGAAATCATACATAAATTATTATGTTACATGTTTCTAACTCAGCTCGCATATATGCCTCAAGTTGGTTTCATATTATTTTTATTTGACAGTCTACTAAGATTCTCAAACGTTAATAGGAGAGTTGGTAAGGAAATATTGGCGAATAGAAGGATTCTATCATTAGAACCAGCTCCTAAACATTGCATTCAAGGACCTAGTACAAATTGAGCCATTGAAAAAAAAAAGAATAATCCAAGGAGTAGGGTGCAAAGAACTGTAGCAATTAAAAACTACAAAAGATAAGAAAAGGCAAAGACATCTTACATAAATAAAAAATAGCTTAGAGGCAATGGAGACAGAGGAGATTACACTAGATATAAATGCACATAATTCAAAAAGTAGATACATTCAATTAATAAAATAATGTCTCGTAACCATTTGTTCTCTAAAATATAAATATATGATAAACTACATATGTAATGACACCCCGGCCCGCAAGTCACACAAAGCTGGACGTATCGGGATCGTAGAATGTCACACACCTTGGAAAAGAAATGTGCTAAACCTCTATTCAACTTTAGATAGTCTAATACCAACTCATCCATACACGAAAGTTGGCCAAGCAATGGTCACATATTTGCTTTTTTAAAACGTAATAATGTGCTTAGCGTGGGCTGAAAGATGCTCATAATAGTGTAAAAGTTTGCTCTCAAAATATAAATATATATTAAATTATAAATATTCGATTTTAAGCGTAATAATATGTTAATTTTGCAATATGCTTACTGTGGTGTGAAATGTGCTTATTATAGTCCAAGTGTTTACTCTCAAAATATAAATATGTGCTAAACTAAAAATCTACTATTTTAAACGTAATAATGTATTAATTTTGCAATGTTCTTGTTGTTTGTTGAAATGTGCTCATTATAGTATAAGTATCTACTCTTTATAATATAATATATGCTAAATTACAAATGTGTTATATTAAATGTAATAATGTGCTAGTTTTGCAATGTGCTTGATGTGGTGTGCAATATGCTCATTATAGTGTAAATATTTGCTCTCAAAATTTAAATATGTGCTAAACTACTAATCTCTTATTTTAAACGTAATAATGTGCTAATTTTTGTAATGTATTTGTTGTGTGTTGAAATGTGTTAATTATAGTATAGATGTTTTCTCTTAATTATATAAATATGTTAAACTAGAAATCTATTATTTTAAATATAATAATGTACTAAATTTGCAATGTGGTTGTTGTGTGTTGAAATGTACTTATTATAGTGTATATTTGCTCTTTATAATATTAATATGCACTAAACTATAAATATGTTATTTTAAATGTAATAATATGCTAATATTGCAATGTTTTGTCGTGTGTTGAAATGTGCTCATTATAAATATAAATATTTCTTTTTATAATATAAATATGTGTTCAACTATAAATATGCTACTTTAAACATAATAATGTACTAATTTTGCAATGTGTTTGTTGTGTAATGTACTCATTATAGTGTAAGTGTTTGCTATTTATAATATCAATTTGTGCTAAACTACAAATATGCTATTTTAAATGTAATAATATGCTAATTTTGTAATGTGTTTGTTGTGTGTTGAAATATGTTCATTATAGTGTAAGTGTTAGTTCTTTATAATATAAATATGTGCTTAAAAACAAAATTACTATTTTAAACGTAATAATGTGCTAATTTTACATTGTGTATACTGGGTGTGAAATGTGTTCATTATAGTGTAATTATTTACTCTTTATAATATAACTATATGCTATAGTTGACAATTTTCAATAAATCCACACGTAAACATCCATCTATCCTATTTTAATTTCTTAATCAAAACTTATGAAATACATATCCATTTTAGGCTTATTGATAATCCATGATCAACTTCCTTTCTGTATAGCTATCTAAAAGAAATCACGAGAACTACATCTGTTTTAACAATCACCTTCAAAAAACATCATACAAGAATTATACTAATAGGTGTATGCCAAAAAATACTGTACCAATAAAGTCATGCATAGCACGGGCATCATGTATGCAACTGTTCAAATTGCATTTCTCATTTCTCACATGTACTCTTTGTCTTTAGTTTAAGAGGGAGCTTCACTTTGTCTTGATATTCTTTTATGTTGTTTTATTTTTTTTTTCTCATTTTTCTTTCTTTATGTTTGCGACATGCTTCTTTGCCTTCTTTTTAACAAACCTAATCTTTTTGTTGCAGTCTTGCAGCAAAACTTTCACACAAACTTTTTTTTCTTTTCGCATCAAAAAATTTCAAGTCAACTATTTGTGAACAAACAGAAGCATTGAGTTCATGGGGCAATAATTCTATATAAAACATAACAAAAAGAGCGCAACTATGAACATCTGGTTGTTTAATGTAGGCAGGAACGTCAACTATATTCTCCGTGACCCACCGTCGGTCTAGAAATAAAACGTTTGCAATTATCCTAACATTTTCAAAAATTCTATCAAATATCAGCTTGTCACTATCTCAGGCATCTATCGAATTCAAGCTATTGAAGAAAAATAGCTTACGATTGACAACAGAGGCACAAAATAAAACCCAGTGTCCTGATAAAACGAACAAAAAAATAATACGAACAAATATAAAAATTCAACACATTTTAAAGTATTCTAAAAACCTATAACAAATATATGAAAACACATTAATGTTAAGAAAGCACTAAAAAAATAAAAAAAACAAGTAAAGAAACTCACATGTTCAGTAGTAATTGAATACCCCCACTCACTTATATATATTCAGGCTGAAAAGATGGCTTCTGATCATCTTCCAATACATGTGCTGGTTTTTGAGGAATTATGTTGTTAACTTCAAGTTGAGCAAAATGCTACAACAAAATAATAATATGAATATCATTTAAAACAGAAAAACAATGAATTATAAAATAAGTATAACTTACGCTCATCGAAGAAGAAAAAGTCTCATCATCCCTCTATT